GTAAATGCTGTGCTTAATGAAAATAACTTGGAAAACAAAATATTTTGTTGCCATTTAAAAATCTACTTTTCAACCGATCTCTCCTATGGCAGCTGTATGATATAGTGGTCCGATCCGGCCGGCAATAAACAGACGGACCTATGGAAAGTGTCAAGACGATTGTTTCAAAACTGAGACTGGTTCGCAAAGAAACAGACAGACGGACATGGATGTATCAACTCGGCTAATTAGCTCTACAACTGTATAAATAAATTCAAAATTTTTGCTTTACAATCAATAAAGTAAACTGAGTTCTATAACATTTTCTATAACTAGAGGGATATATCGTAATATACACTTTTCTGTTTTTAATTGAAAACGACATTTTCAAAGACGCAACTCTTCGGAAAATTAATAAAGTAACAAGTAAGAGGTTCTAGTCGGATACTCCCGACTAGGGGATACCCTGAATACTCTTCTTGCAACATCAAATGCATATATATATTCTATTTTAGAAGCTATATGTCAAGTTTGGTGACTCTAGCTCTTATTATTTACCAAAAATGCCCAAAAAACAGGATATCGATATCGATTTTTATCGATTGCTTGGAAACGGAGTAAGTTATCGATTATCGGAAACAAATTCGATCTGCGCGGGCACTAGGAGCACCCACATCTAAAATTTCAAGTCTAGCTCTTATAGATTCTGAGATCCTGCGTTCATACATACGGACAGACGGACAGACAGACGGACGGATATGACTAGATCGACTCGGCTATTGGTGCTGATCAAGAATATATATACTTTATGGGGTCGGAGATGCTTCCTTCTGCCTGTTACATACATTTGGACACAAATACAATATACCCTTATACATATTTTTAATGGGTTCAGGGTATAAAAATATTGTGAAATATTCTTCTTTAAACGGAAACTTTAAACGAATTGATATCGATTTATCTCTGCGAAGATATGTAAAGCATTTCATAAGGTTTGTTGGGTTTTTACGCTCTTTGAGTTGTCTGAAAAATTTGTGTATTTCTAGTTATGGCAGGTGGCAAGCATCTTAAAACCCCCGAGTCTAATCCCGAATATTCAATTCAACGATGAACTCATGGATTCAGTTTGTAAACAATCAAACTAGAGATATTCAAGTTCCAATCATCAAACAAAACTAAGTAGTTGAACGTGCTGCAGTCGCAGCTGGACTGACTTAGCCAAAGTTTGTAATTACGGCCCGGCACACAATGCATTGGCAACTTTCCAATTAAAAACATAAATACAAATCGGAAGGGAGCAAACGAAGGAGCAGGAGAAGGAGGAGGTGGAGCTGTCGATGTAGCTGATGTTTGGATGGGTGGGCGTGGAAAAGCCAGCCAGTTGTGTCAACAATTACTTACTGAATGGTGATTAAAATGTTGATGCCCGACAGCACGACCATGGGCAGCAGACAATAGCCCAGCACGGAGGCAACGGCGCCAAAGGTCACTTGCGAGCGTGTGACCATCAATGAGAGCAGACAGTAGAAAAATATGCAGCCCATGACGCCAATGCCATAGATGTATGAGAAGGTAACCTTGCCGCTCTGTAAAAATATAAGAAATATAAGAAAATATAGAGAACATAAACCAATCAATGCATAGGCATTATGAAATGAGAGTCGTTTCGGGTTGTACCCACCAGCAGAAGAATGCCGCCCAGTGTGAGACAGAATACCAATGGTCCGGCCATGTCCGTGTCCTGGAGTATTTGTTGATCTGTGCCGCGCAAGGGATTCAGCACGGCCAGCGTCTAAAACAAAAGGAGTGTGCGTGAAGTTAGTAGAATGTAATTCAAGGAAAATGTTATTAAAATTACAACCAGTGAAGGACTCCGACCGGGGACAGCCAGACCGCCATCATCATTCACAACCTGCGGCAGGACACGACACAATTCATTTGTACGCACACACACACACAACGGCCATAAAACGCAGTTCCAGCAGTTGCTGTGTGTGTGTGTTGGTGTGTACTCGCAGTGAAATTTGAAAAATGGAAATTGATGATAAATGATATTGCTGACCAGCCAGCGGAGCAGCGAACGAGCCTGTCAACATGTTTGACGCACGAGAATTTAGACCACGAGGCCAGAAATAAATGAAACAACCGACTGCCAACCAAAACAATCGCCATTTACTGGCAAAAACACATGTGCCCTCAGTTCAGTTCAGTTCAGTTGACTTTAATCCTTGGCCTACGTTTATCAATAGGCACCTTTTCATGGCCCGCCAAAGATTTTCATATAATTTTGTCATCAAATGCGAATTCATTGCATTCAATGTTTTTTTTTTTTTTTGTTTTAATTTTCTATATTCTGATGCGATTTTTATTAATGTTGTTATCTTGACTGCCTTTTTCAATTTAAATATTTTAAATCATTTTTTTTGCCAAGGATTTAAATTGAAATCTTTTAAAATATGTCTATTTACTAGGAAAATATTACAAAAATCATTTAAACTTTGTTTTTACAAAGAATAACAAAAATGGACATACACTTCAAATCGATATAGAGTACTATATCAGGGTTTTACAGGTGTTTCGAGAACAGTTTCCTAATCGAAAGCTCTGAACAAAAAGATAGTTTACTTTTGGTCAATGGCATTGTTTATATTGGCTAAACAAATCCTTTAAGAAAAGTGCGTAAAAAATGAAAATAAAACAGAAACGATTCTGGATTCTTATAATTCTTGGAGAAGCTAGCATTAGCTACTTAATAAAAGTGAAATACACGAAAAAATTGAGTTAGGGTGGAACGCTTCGGGTTCAATTAGGGCTTAAGTTTGCAGCAACAAATATATAGATATATTATTTCTTGTCAGACAATAACATTATTATAAATATATGAAAAATAAATGTTCTAATAGAGAGTTTTATCAAATTATTCGAAATATTTCTGTTCTGTAGAAAATTCGAATGTCCAAGTAAGACCTGCATTTGAATGCTGTAGACCTATTTAAGTCTTGTTCATTATCTTGTTAATAGAACATAAATAAGTTGTAAGAATTGAAATATAAATTTAACAAAATGTTATCAACAAATGCTTTTCTCTCTAAAGAGAGCTTGAACAATTAATTGAACTCCTCTTACCCAATCCCAGCTACAAATGTGTTTGAATTTAAATGTTAAGCCTTGTTGAGAATTAAGCCATTATAAATACAGTTAGACCCATATTAAAACGATCGTTTTTTTGTTTCTCTTAATCTGTTGTTGTGCGTGTGTTTTTCTACTTGCTTCTGTACAATTTAATTAGTATTTCGCTTAATTTTTATGATGGCAAAAGACTCATTAACATTTTCATTTTTCAATTAACACAAACGTAATAAATTCCACAACAAAAACGAACAAAAACACGAAAAAAATAAACGCAAATTATCACAAAAGTCAAAAAAAGTGTAGAAAAGTTACATAGAGCAAAACGAAAGAAAAAGTTTAATTAAAAACACAAAAGTTTTATTTATTTAAAAAAAAAAACACACACACAACAAAACAAAACAGCAACAGAGCAATGAAAAAATATGTCTTCATTAACGACAGAACAACAAGTGCAAGCCAGCAACAATGCAAAATAAAAAATAAAAAAATAAAAAACGGCATCGGGCAAAAGCAGCGTGCAATAAATAAATACAAAAGCGAAATGCAAAAACATTTAAATTTCAATTAAAACTGAGCGCAGAACAGCGCGAAGTTGGCAGCGCTAGAAAAGCTCGGCCTAAAGTGGACACTCTTTCCGCTCTTTTGCACGAGTAACCGCCCCAGCCCCTACCGCCCTTCACCTATCATTGACTCACTCTCTTTCTCTCTCTCTCTCTCTCTACTGCTGCACACAATTGCAACTACGCAAATTAGAAAACTGAAAACAAAAGCGAAATGCGTAAATGCAAAAGAAGAATAATGCAGTAGGTGAAGTAATTGCGCATGCAACAACAACAACAACAACAACAACAAAAACAAAGTGAGGCAATCTTGAGAGCTGCCTGTGAGGCATTTCACCAAAGGGACGCGCATAAAATATGCAATTTGCCGAGATTTCAAGTGTTCCACTACCAAAATGATTCAAGTGCAGCCACAAGGCACTCAAACCAATGGAAAAAGCTAGAATTAAATTTGAATATAGAAAAAAAGCGGTACCTACCTTTTGGAATATATGATTTGGATTGATGCCCAGTTCTAAAAGGAAACACATAAAACTCATGAGTCTTGGATTAGTTGTGCATCTGCAAGCTGTGCTTACCCTCCAGCAGGGGCGGCTCATCCTCGAACTCGTTGCCGGTGGCGGCACCGCCGGCCGCGCCACCCTGTTTGAAAGATTTGTCCTGCGCAAAGCTGCTATCTGTGTAGGCGGTTGGATCGTAGAAGCCGCCAAGACCCGAGTTTGGTGCATTGCTGTAGGCGGCATCATAGTTCGGCGGCACCGAAGGTTGTGTGTTGTCGAAACTCTGGAAATTGCTTTGGTAAAGCGAACGCAAACAATTGTTAAACAAATTGGAAGTGCGGGCGCGTGTCAAACACAAAGACTCACAGTTCCTGGCCAAACTCAGGCACATCGAAATTGTAGCTGGCATCTGCTGAAGGCCCGGAGGTATAAAAATCGTTGGGACCGAATTGCGACATTTTATAAACGTTTTAAACAATATTTAAGGTGTTAATAATTTAGAAATTCAGTGCAACACGTCACTGGAAACGGCTGATTACCATTCACCGGCAACGCCAACATGTTAGGTGTCTGTTAAATGAGCGTTGATGCTGTAAAATGTCTGTTAAGTGATAGTGTTGTAAAGCGCACGCGCGAATGTGGCGCCGGATTTAAATTTGAGCTGAAAAATTGTTGTCAATCATTTGAAAATATTTTTCAACATGGAAATGAAAAGATTTCGGATAATGGTAACATTCATAATACATTTTTATTTGCATAGCTCCACTTGTAACACGCACACAAGTTATTCCTCAATTGGGGCTAAGTAATTATTGCGTTTGTAAAGGTCTATAATATAGATATAGTATTATAATTTCGTATTATATTAAACTTCTTGCAACACGCAATGGCAAAAAACATTAAGTAAATTTTTAGTAGTTTGTAGTTACAGTTACGTAGAGAACACAGTTAGATAACTTTACGAATTTGTTTTTTTTTTTTTACTAACAATAAATAGCTGTGAATTATAATTATGTAGGTATACATATATCAACATAGATAATTTATATATATATGTATGTGTTATTTATATGGCTGGTTCTAAGTGGACAACATCCGTTCTTTTTTGTTTTTATTTTGCGCTATCGGCTAATTATTGTTCGTCTTTCCTAAATCTTTGTCATCTTCGTCGTGTACATTGTTCATTGTTTCTTTCGTGTTCCTCGAGTGAAACGCTTTCTAGTCCTACCTGACGCAACCGTTCTAAACTGTTTAACTTAAAAATTAAATTGATTTCAAATATCTTATTACGCATTATGTATATATGACTAGCTTGATGGGGGAATTCGAATAATAACCTAACATTGGTTGCTTATTTCGTTTGGTAAATTTTTCTTTTTTTTTTTTTTTTTGGTATTTTTCCTTTTTGGTATTGGTTTGCCTTGTTTATGTTCAAGCTGAAGTTATGGGCGTTTAGTCCTCCAAATTTCGGAAAGCCTGCTGTAGATCCTCGTACAACTGATCGTAGTCCGCCTTAATCTTTTGCTCGCCATCTTTCAAGGGATCCTGCGCAAAGCAAAAGCGAGAGAAATACAATATTTTACACTAATTCGCGGTCTACGCATTGATTACTCACTTTAAATTTCATTGAAGATAACTGATACATAATGCCGCCCATTGATTCCCTGATGGTGTTCCATGTAATCTTATTGTCCGACTGGGCGGTGGACTCAACAGCATGACGCGCCGTCTCATAGAAAGCTAGTATATTTCTTAGCATGCCCACCGTTTTATAGAATGGACACACTCGATCGTATGAGGAGTAGGAGTTCTGCTGCAAAAAGTCGTCCTTCAGCAGTTTGGCCACCTCCAGGGTAACCTTATCGGTCTCGGCCAGCGACGCCTTGCCGACCAGTTGCACGATTTCGGAGAGATCCTCTTCCTCCTGCAAGATTTCCTTAACCTTGGTACGTAGTGGCACAAATTCGGGGAAGTTCTTGTCGTAGTACTCGTCCAGAGCGCGCGTATACTTGGAATAGGAGATAAGCCAGTTAATGGAAGGGAAATGTTTACGCTGAGCCAGCTTCTTGTCCAGACCCCAGAACACCTGCACGATGCCCAGAGTGGCCGAGGTAACGGGATCGGAGAAATCGCCACCAGGTGGCGAGACAGCGCCCACAATGGACACTGAGCCCTCGCGCTCGGGATTGCCCAAGCACTTGACGCGGCCAGCGCGTTCGTAGAAGGTGGCCAGACGTGCACCCAAATACGCCGGATAGCCAGAGTCAGCAGGCATCTCAGCTAGACGACCAGAAATCTCACGCAAAGCCTCCGCCCAACGCGATGTGGAGTCTGCCATCATGGCCACATTATAGCCCATATCGCGGAAATATTCCGACAACGTGATGCCAGTATAGATGGAAGCCTCTCGAGCAGCCACGGGCATGTTGGAAGTGTTGGCCACCAATGCAGTACGTTTCATTATGGACTCCGTGACGCCGTCGACTTCGCAAGTAAGTTCCGGAAAATCACGCAAGACTTCAGACATCTCATTGCCACGCTCGCCGCAGCCTACGTAGATGATGACATCCGAGTTGGAGTACTTGGACAAAGCCTGCAAAGAGCCTTAAACTGAGCCAAGTTGTTGGAGCTGGAAAAAATGGCACACTTGCCTGCGAGATGACAGTCTTGCCGCAACCAAAGGCACCGGGAATGGCCGTGGTGCCGCCCTGAACACAGGGAAACAGGGAATCTAACACACGCTGGCCCGTAAAGAGTGGATGATTCGCCGGCAGCTTTTCTGTGCAGGGACGCGGCTGACGCACGGGCCACACCTGCAGCATTGTATGTTTTGTAATCTCGCCATCGAACTCCGTCTCCAGCACAACGTCTTCCAGATTGTAGTTGCCCGCGGGCGCAATATACCGAACTGTGCCCTTGGCACGCGGCGCCACAAGCATACGCTGCTTGACCAACGTGTTCTCATGCACTACGCCGTAGAGATCTCCGCCTGTGATATGAGAGCCAACGCGCACGTGCAAGGGATTGAACTCCCACATGACGGAGCGTGAAAGGGCGGGCGTGTTAACACCCTTGGGTATATAAATGGAGTTGGTCATGATGCCAATGTCCCTCAGCGGGCGCTGGATGCCGTCAAAAATGCTGCCCATAATGCCGGGACCCAGCTCGACGGACAGGGGTTTGCCAGTGCGCAGCACGGGATCACCGACTGTGACGCCGGAGGTTTCTTCGTACACCTGAATGGTGGCCATGTCGCCCTCCAGACGAATGATCTCGCCCACCAGCTCATAGTAGCCCACACGCACCAGCTCGTACATAGCAGAGCCGGACATGCATTCGGCCGTAACGACTAGGGGACAAGGGGAGCAAGGTGACAATTAGTTAAGGTCAGCAGGTGAAGGACAAAGGTGACGTCTTACCCGGACCAGAGACAGCGTACACGCGACCGTATTCGGATTCGCGATCCTCGTCTTTGATTTTCCTCAGGCTAGACATCTTTGAGGTGAGTTCGGTTCAACTGCAACGATCAAAACTGTTTGCTAAACAACAACAAAACAAAGGTTAAACACTTTTTCGTTATAAACAAAACACACATTTCGCACGCTTGTTTGTGGCAAAAAAAAAAATGATGTGAAAAAAAAAACTAGGTGGCGCTGCTGTGGGCAGCTGCCAAGCAGCCCCCAGTGAAAGCTTCAAGCCCCCGCAGCAGCCAACGATCGATTTTTCCACATAAATTTCACGGTTGCCACCCACAGTTTACTTGAAAAGTTTTGAAATTGTACAGCAAAAACAATATATCAACGAGCTTTGCATATTTCTAGGCACTAGACTTTTCAATAATTATTTGTTTAATGCAAGTCCAATAGTTTTGCTAGTTGGAAAATCGCTTTTACTCACATTTGTTTTAGCTCTTATGAAAATTCTCAGCAGACTGAGTTTCTATTTTAATCTAGATTGGCAGCGCCTCAAATTTTCCAATACATTAGGAAAATTCTTATCGATTCTATATATTGCTTACAATCGAAATTCGATATCGATATGTGATGTGAATACATATAGTGCTATTAAATTGACAATAAAAATTGCTAGCTTGAGTTATTTTTATTTATTCATATATATTTATTATTTATAGAAATTATTTACATATATATTATTTTATTTTATTTTATTTTGTACAGACATATTAGAAATCCAATATATATTTTATATATTTTCAAATTTATTTTGTTTATTTATCTGTTGAAATTCAATATAATTTGTTGTGTTTATTTATTTGCTAATCAACTAAAAAGCGAATTAATAATATTCTACTGTAACGTGTTGTTGGTACGTGTAAATACCCATGAGTCTAAATGTTATCGCATCAGTGTACCAAGCACTAAACTATCGATATATGAACTATCGTGTAAATTGCAGCTAGCAAACTGTTCTGTTACATCTCTACTACCGTCTCGGCTGCAAAACAAACTTTTAGCGAAAACAGGGGCCAAGTAATTTTGAGAACGAGATATATCTTAAAAAGTACATTTATTGAGATTGTCGCGCTGCCCCGCATAACACAAACATGTGAAAGTGCCGAACGCAAGCTGTGGAACATTGCGTGACGTGCCCAGACAGATTCAGACTCCGGGCAAGCAAATTATAACCTCAAAGTCTCGACTGGACGTGGGTGCACCTGCTTTGAATTGCAGGCGCTTGGGGATTTCCCCTGACCCAAGAAACTATTGAACGTAAATATGTCGACATCCTCGATTGTGCAGCAGTTCGTCAACGGACTCAAATCACGCAATCGCAATGTGCAAAACAAGGCGGCACAGGACCTGTTCCTGTATGTCAAAACAGAGCTGCGCGAGATGTCGCAAGAGGAGCTGGTGCAATTCTTTGACGACTTCGATCATCACATCTTCAACATGGTCAATGCAACGGACATCAATGAGAAGAAAGGCGGCGCCCTGGCTATGAGTGAGTAACAATTCCGATTGTAGATGCCTCTGGGTTTCACCCTTGCCTCATATCCTGTTCTTGCTTCCGTTTACCAGAGTGTCTCATAAGCGGTGACGCGTTGATCACGCGCAAAGGCATCTCGCCGTACCTTAATCGATTGCGCGATCTGCTGCTTATCAATGATGTGTCCGTCATGGAAATTGCGGCACGTTCCCTGGTCAAGCTGGCCAATATGCCCGGCTCGAAGGGCGCGGAATCCTTTGACTTCGACATCAAAAAGGCCTTTGAAATGCTCAGCGGCGACCGACAAGAGGTGCGTAGCTATCAAATTATTTACCATTACGAACAATTATACTTAAATATTTGTTTACTACAGTATCGCCGTCACGCGGCCGTCTTTATTCTACGTGAGCTGGCAATTGCCTTGCCCACATATTTCTATCAGCAAATTCTTACGTTTTTCGAGCACATCTTTAATGCCATCTTTGATCCGAAGCCAGCGATACGCGAATCTGCCGGCGAGGCCCTGCGCGCCGCACTCATTGTGACCGCCCAGCGTGAGAGCACAAAACAATCCAGTGAGCCGCAGTGGTATAAGATCTGCTATGAAGAGGCCAGCAGCAGCTTCAGCAGCGATGTGCTCACGGGCAAGGAGCAAAAGGGCATGACTCGCGACGATCGCATACACGGCGGCCTCATTGTCTTCAATGAGCTATTTCGTTGCGCCAATGCGCATTGGGAACGCCGATATACAACGCTTAAGATGCTCTTTCCCAAGTCGCAGCACAATAAATTTCTGGAAGCGACTAATTCCTCATCAGTTGGCAATCAACTGACCACCATTGTGCCACGCCTCAAGGTGCCTTTCGTTGATAAACTGGGCAGCACACAGATGCACATGGAGGGCGAGCAGCACAATGCGACGGGCAACAAGCTGACGAGTGTAAGCAACAAACATACTCTATCAATTAATCGAGTCATAAATCAGTTTAAGAGGTATTATTTATGCCCCTTTCATTTATCTGAAATGTAGATATTATTTTAATTTATTATCACTTAGCTTAAGAATTACTTTGAAGCTGCTGTGCTCGACCGAAAAATGGAACTGCCTAGCGATTTATTACTATAAGAAATTTTAGAAAAATAATCCGTGTACCAACTAGCATAGTATAATTTTTTATAATTATTACTTTAAAGGTAGCTCATATTTTCACCATTCATTGATTCGATTCCATTTTGTTAACGATATTTGTTTATTTTTGCAGCAAAACGTACTGGAGTCCGCCTACGCCCACGAGATACTTAAGGAGCACTTCATAACCATATGCGACAATGTGCTGGAGCAGCGCACCTCAAAGTCGCCATATGTGCAGCAGGCGTTGCTGCAGATCTTGCCCCGTCTGGCTGCCTTTAATCGCGAAGTGTTTGTGGCGCAATATTTGAAAACTTGTGTGGCCCATTTAATGTCGATATTGCGCGGCAAGGAAAAGGATCGCAACGTGGCATACATCACCATCGGCTACATAGCCGTGGCCGTCGAGAGCGATATAGAGAAACATCTGAAGCATATTATGGGCAGCATTAAGCAGGCGCTGCCAGCCAAGGATTTGGCCAGTAAACGCAAACCGCCTGTCGATGCGGCGGTCTTTGCCTGCATTACGCTGCTGGCGCATGCGGTCAAGTCACAAATCGCGGACGATGTCCGCGAAATTCTTGAGCAAATGTTTCACACAGGCCTCTCGCCAGCGCTGACCGTTTGTCTGCGCGAACTGGCCGAGAATGTGCCGCAACTGAAGTCAGCTATTACGGATGGCCTGATTGGCATTCTCTTTCAGGTGCTAATGAATAAGCCGGCAACCATACCATATGCCACAATGCCGCCCATCAGCATTGATGCCTCGCTGCTGCTCCAGAGTGCCGATAGCCCCACAATTGTGCTGGCTCTAAGGACATTGGGTACCTTTAATTTCGAGGAACAGAACATGCTCGACTTTGTGCAGCGGTGAGTGCCACTGAAATCCAGCAATCTTTTCAAACATTCACTAATATTCACATTCATTGCAGCTGCGCGGATTACTTTATTGTGCACGAGCATCAGGAAATACGCCTGGAAGCGGTGCAAACCTGTACGCGTCTGCTCAAGCTGGCCGTGCAGTCGTCGGACAGCATGGAGAACTCAAAGACGTTGAGCGACACGGTCTCGCATGTGATTGAGCGTCTGCTGTCGGTGGCCATCACCGACATGGATTACAATGTGCGCATTCGTATACTTCGCTCGCTGGACGAAACTTTTGATGCCAAGCTGGCGCAACCGGAGTCGCTAAATGCGCTTTTCATAACCCTGCACGATGAGATCTTCGAGATACGCGAACTTGCCATGGTCACCATCGGGCGGCTGTCCTCCATGAATCCCGCCTATGTCATGCCAAAGCTGCGCACCACCATGATTGAGCTGCTCACGGACTTGAAGTACTCGGGCATGAGTCGCAACAAGGAGCAGAGCGCACGTATGCTGGATCATCTAGTCATTAGCACGCCGCGTCTTATTTCATCCTATATGAATCCAATACTGAAAGCGCTCGTGCCCAAGCTGCACGAGCCAGAGTCTAATCCTGGCGTGGTGCTCAATGTGCTGCGCACCATTGGCGATCTGGCCGAGGTCAATGGCGGCTCCAACGAAATGGAGCTGTGGGCAGATGAGCTGCTCTCCATACTGCTCGAGATGCTGGGCGATGCGGGCAGCCCGGACAAGCGTGGCGTTGCGCTCTGGACACTCGGCCAGCTGATAAGCGCCACAGGGCGTGTGGTTAGCCCCTATCACAAGTATCCAGTGCTAATCGATATACTGATTAATTTCCTAAAGACCGAGCAGCGTCGCTCCATACGCCGCGAAACGATACGCGTGCTGGGCCTGCTTGGCGCAATGGATCCGTACAAGCATAAAATGAATAAGGGCCTGATTGATAGCCAAAAGGATAATGTGCTAATTGCCTACTCGGATGGCAAGGCGGACGAGAGCCAGGACATTTCCACGGCCGAGCTGCTTGTGAACATGGGCTCCCACGCACTGGATGAGTATTATCCAGCTGTGGCCATTGCGGCGCTCATGCGCATCCTCCGCGATCCAACACTTAGCACACGTCACACCAGCGTCGTGCAGGCTGTCACCTTCATCTTTCATACGCTGGGCATCAAGTGCGTGCCGTATCTGGCACAGGTGCTGCCCAATTTGCTGGACAATGTGCGCACCGCGGACAATAATCTGCGTGAGTTCCTCTTCCAGCAGCTGGCCATTCTGGTGGCCTTTGTCAAGCTGCACATCATCAGCTATATGGACGACATCTTTAAGCTGATCAAGGAATTCTGGACCATCAATACGCCGCTTCACTCCACGCTCATCAATCTAATCGAACAGATTGCCGTTGCCCTGGGCTGCGAGTTTCGGGATTATCTGGCGCAGCTCATACCGCAAATTTTGCGTGTGCTCCAGCACGACAACTCCAAGGATCGAATGGTTACACGGCGACTGTTGCAGGCGCTGCAGAAATTTGGCAGCACCCTGGGCTATTATTTGCCACTAATTGTGCCGCCCATTGTCAAGTTCTTTGACTCGCCCTATGTGCCTCAGCAGGTGTCCCTGGTGGCGCTGGAGACGATCAACAGTTTGGCTGGCCAGCTGGATTTTACGGACTTCTCCTCGCGCATAATACATCCGCTGGTGCGTGTACTGGAAACGGAGCCGGAGCTGCGCGAACAGGCAATGACCACGCTGCGCTCTCTGGTCAAGCAGCTGGGCAAAAAGTATCTGGTTTTTGTGCCCATGGTGCAGCGCACCATCAACAAGCATCGCATCGTGGATGCCGAATACGAAAAGCTGCTCGACCACATTCAATCCAACAGCACCTTGGTGGATGGCTGCGGCATTGGCGTTGGCATTGGCGGCGACTTCGGGCAGCGCCAGGCGAAGCCCAAATACAATGAGCCCTTTGTGCTGGACAGCAACAGCAGCAGCAAGAATCTGAAAGTGTCCACAAATGCGTTGC